CCCCGCCAAACCCCCACCTCCCCCACAAAAACAAGCAAGCAAACAAACAAAATCCCCACAACTAAAACAAACATAATTTTAAAAACCCCAAAACAACAAACAGCCCAACCCTAAAACCGACAAACAACAGCAACATAAACACTTTTCTGTATCCCTGCGGCAGTTATGAACAAGAGGATTTAGAAAAAACAGCAACAATGATAACAAAAAACAAAACAATAGCAAAACAAAAACAGACAGCAAACGCAACCAATGCCAAAAAGTGGTAGGAATTTGATTTTAGCGAAGGGCAAACGAAAGTAGAAGCCTGTGAGCAGCAACAATTACACGTATCTGTGAAGTGCCAGTACTAAGTCAAGTGAATGGTACTGGAGATGACAGTGGCGGCTGAGACCGCACTCAGGATTCATGCTAACAATGTTTACAACATACTTTCTTGTAATATAAAAAGTTTCAAGCACGTAGTTCAAGTTCAAAAGACGTAAGCAGAATGATGTCCCTTTTTGCCGGGATGTCAACAATGACGGAAAACTCGACAATCAAAAGAAGGCAAAAATGAAAAGTAAACAAATCAGCAAAATGAGCGAAGCCCTACACCTCCCTCCCTTTTCCGAAACAAGAAACAGAATAAACCCCTCCTCTTAAAAAACAAGAACCACACAAGATCTACCACCACCACCACCACCAGCACCACCACAACAACAACAACAACAACAACAACAAACGTTGTCTTAGAAAAAAAACTAAAGCTAAAGGAAAATTGAGATTTTCCTGAAAAAATAAAAAAATCAACGTTAGTGAGAAATTATGTTTAGATTCAGAAAAAAAACTTGACAGATTAATCACTGCAGCCTTTTATGCGACTATTGCGAAGGAGGACAAGTAGGCGGCTGTTTTTCTTTTGAAAGTTAATTATAAGGAGTCACCCAAGACCTACGCCTATCTTTCCTGGATTAGTGACATTAGTATATTAAGTTGACTGGATTAGTCCCAATTTCGAAACGGAGCATTTGTCAACCCGTAAACGCTTCACAAGCTAAGAAGAAGTCGCAATGATGGGGCGACAGAGCCCTGTACCTTACTGCAATTGGATTTCTACATTCTGTCGTTCATACCTGGGGCAAAGCATTAACTCAAATGAAATCATACAGGGTGGGAATGCAGGTCACCGAGGTGTGAATCTCCAACTAGGCTTTCTTAATAAAACCTGGGTTGTTTAAGGAGTTTTCATAGCCGTCCACTTTTTAGTACTAGCTCGTTTGGAGTTGGTCGTTGAATTGAAGGTCTCACCTCTAAGAGATTAACATTCTTTGTCAAAAGACCTGTTTAACCCACAATGAAATGAAAACACTTTCAAGACCAACACAGTGAGACGATTAGCAAAACTTTACTTTCAGTACTGTCTATAGTTACAAGAACCATAACCGCAATTTTCAGAAAGTGTCCCAGACAACTAAGTGTATACATGTAACTTGGTCAAGACAAGATAAGAAAAGTCTAACAAACCCCCATGTATCATAAATCTCGAAAAGGTTGATAAGGGCCTTTCGTTGGTATCTTCGTACACGAACCAGTTGTACACAGTTGCTGATAAGTAGGTTTCAAAACGCACGATGTCGTCTGCGTTGAAGAATGCAGTTTTGTTAAAGGCGACTTCACACCTTTGAATCCTGTTCATATTATGATATTCATTTAGGTTTATTGAACACGTTCGAAAATTAACATAAAATTCGCACGACGAACAAAGAAACAGAACAAGCATCAAAGAAAACCTACAAAACCGTAACGTCTAGTGTGGAAATATTGTTTAGAAATCGGAAAATGGACTTCCAAGTGATATAATTTTATTTATAGCGTACTCCCAAAGAGATACAGAGCAAACGTGGTCGCATGCATTTCTTAACTGTTCACTTGGCTTCATAGACGAATTGCAAGACATTTATTATTTCTAACATACATACAATGTACATCATAATATATGCTTGCTTGATAGGTCCAAGGCCATCTAAGGAGTAGCAGATTCATATGGTCCCAATCTCAAAGAACCCCGAATATGTGGGTTACGGTGTGGCAGATTGATCTAAGTTATAAGTATATCATTATGAACTGCCTGTTAAATAATAAAAGCAGAGAATGTCCTTTCTTTCTTTGGCTTTTCATTTTTTAAAGAAGGAAGTGGTGGGGGGAGGAGGATTATGAACCCTAGACGCAGTTTGCCTACATTATTGGCAGGGGCCGATATCCTGACATGACAGCAGGTGTTGTGGTAAGGGAAAGGAAGGGAAGGCGTTTTTTGTTTGTTTTTTAAATGTTAGGAATCCCCAAAGCATGCCCGTGTGAATTTTACAACTAACCATGTTCAACAGGTTTTTTTTCTCTCTTGATTTGTAAATATTTCGATGACTTGGGAGTGTGAAACTCGTAGAATGCCCTTATTTTTAAAAATTTATATTTTAATTTTTG